GGGCAGTGTTTCTTTCTGCTGTGCATGGGGTCGCTATGAGTCGGAAACGACTCGACGGCACTTAACAACAACAACAACAGTGTGTACGAATAATGATTCCTCTTCAATTTGGCCACCACTGAGTATTGTTGGCCTTTTTAATTTTTGTTATTTTTATGGTAAAAAGTTTTGCTTTTCAGTGGTTAGGACCATCCCCCACCACATAGTCACCTGTATTCTCTTATTCTGCTTTCTTTTTCTTCATAGCTTTTGATATACTATATATTTTTATTTGTCCACTGTCTGTCTTGCCCTACTAGAATAAGACCTGTAGGAGAATAGAAACTTTCTTTACTCTGTATCTCCAACACCTAAAACACTTCTTAGCACATCATAGGCTTGCTAAAATAATTTGTTGAATAAATAAATGACTTATGTTTATTAGTGAGGTTGAGCTTTTTTTATTTATTTTTTTCATATTTTATTGGCCATTAATCTCCATGACGGGAAAATGATATCTAAGATAAAAGATTTTTCTACAAATGATATAGTTATGACTGATGTGATAGAATATCTCAGTGTTATGATCACTTCTACTAAAGAGAAAGAAACTTCTTGAAGGTAGAAACTACAAACTTGAACATATAAAGATAGTAATACCATATGTGGCACAGACGTCTAAGTAGTGCATTATATTCACACTTAGTTGGATTTTAAAAATTCCTAAATTGATATATATCTGACTCCCTCCTTTTTTTAAATCACTTATTTTTTAGAGAGACATTTTCTACTCTGAAGCGGAAGTTTTTGGACCCATTTAAAGATCTCTGTCAGAGGGTGCAAACTGTTGGCTCTTGAGTGAATTTGGCTCACAGATACTGTCTTAGTTCTGTAGTGCTGGTATAACACAGGTACCACAGTGGATGGCTTTAACAAATAGAAATTTATTCTCTTGCAGTCTAGGAGGCTAGAAATCTGAATTCAGAATGCCAGCTCTATGGGAAGACAAGGCTAGGAGTTGGAGTTTAGAGTGCTGGCTTTAGGGGCTGGGTGGAGCCCCCTTTACCTTGGCCTTCAGCTCTGCCTCCGAGGCCCACTGGAGCAAGCTGGAAGCATCTCCTCACTCACGCAGCTGCTGGCTGCCTAGGCTGACAAATCTAATATCAGCAGGCAACACAGCAGGCCACTGGTTCAAGTCCAGAAATTGGGGATGAAGACTGAACCAAATGCAGGATCCTTTCTGTATATACTGGAAGCAGGCCACATCCCAGAGGCAACTCTCCCTCAACTGATTAACTGGCCACAGCAGATTTCACCATGGAGGTGATGACACCAGTCCAGTCTCATTATGGGGAATAACATCTAGCTGCCAAGCCACTCAAACTCATGGCCCAACCAAGTTGACCCACTACCTTAACTACCACAGATGTGTTTTGTTTGGCTTATATAGTATTGGTCAAATAGAAAATTTGCCAACATTGGATCTGAATTCCCCTCATGGCAACAACTGGCTGGAATTGAGTAGCATCTGCACTTTTTTTTTGTAGACAAAGAATGTGATCTTCAGTTTTCTGCAGTTACCAGTATTCCTTATTGTTTACCGAACAGAGAGGCCAAATATTGGCTATCATTTTTCATTGTCCTTTGCTTTTTGCTTTTTCTGTATACCTGACCCACCTTATTTATGATGCATTTCAAGCTGCACTGGGCATTTCATGACAATAAACTAAATTTGAAAGATTTTAAGATGTTAAAAAATATCTGCCTTATTGTTAACATGGTTATTTTCTTAATTTAGTGTCTTCACTGGCTGCTCTGGCATGGAGCTGATATCACACAAATAACTACAAGAGGTTGGACAGCAGCTCACATAGCTGCAATCAGGGGTCAGGATGCTTGTATGCAGGTAATAACAACTAACCTTGGCATTTTTTTATTATTATTATTCAATAAGTTTAATTACTTTATCATAGGCTATTAATATTACTCTAATTATTTGATCTCTTAGTTTAAGTTGTATGTTTGAAATAAGAACTTATTGGATTCTATGACTCTTATGTTGTGACACCCACCAGCTTTTCACTTAAAACTGTGAGACCAGATCCTTTTATGTGATGAAGTAGTTTCCTATTTGTTTGAGTTGTCTTGAGAAATTCCACATTTCTTGTTTTAGGAATGAGGAAAATAACCAAATTTTCTCCTTTATAGTTTGCCATACTTGAAATTCCTGTTTTTACTGTATCTTCTGTACTGGGAAACAGATTAATATGTGGCAATGTTTATTTTTTTCAAGTAACTAGATTTAATTAATATTCTAAAATAGACTGGAAAATCTGGTAGTATATAAAGTCACATAAGCAAACAGTCCCTGCCTCTAAGAAGCTGAGGTTCTGTTTGAAATGGCAGGACAACTACACAATAAGTCAAAAATATAAAGCATAGCCTGTGGTTAAGGTTCTAATAAATATTGTAGATGAGAAGGACTGTGCAACTTGGGAGAAAATGGAGGACATAAAACTTTAACTAAACCTAGAAAAATGGGTTGATTTTAAAGAGAGAAATAATGAGAAAGCATCATAGATGGGAGATATGTTAGTAGCAAATATAAATAATGTTTTTTTTTTAGTTGTTAGCTGCTGTCATACAGCCTCCAGCTCACGGCAACCCTGTGTACAACAGTATGAAACACTGCCTGGTCTTGCATAACCCTCACAATCCTTGCTATGCTTGAACCCGTAGTTGCAGCCACTATGTCAATCCGTCTTGTTGAAAGTCTTCCCATTTTGCAATGACTCTTTATCTTACCAACTATGATATCCTTTTCTAGAGACTGGTCCCTTCTGACAACATGACCAAAGTAGGTGAAAGGAAGTCTGGCCATTCGTATTTCTAAGGAGCATTCTGGCTGCACTTCTTCAGGACAAATTTATTTGTTCTTCTGGCAGTCCATGGCATTTTCAGTATTCTTCACCAGTACCACATTTCAAAGGATCAACTATTCTTTGGTCTTCCTTATTCATTGTCCAGCTTTCACATACATATGAGGCTATTGAAAATATCATGGCTTGGAGTAGGCGCACTTTGGTCTTCAAAGTGACATCTTTGCTTCTCAACACTTTGAAGAGGTCTTTTGTAGCAGATTTGCCCAGCAGTGCGATGGCTGCTTCCATGGGTGTTGATTGTGGATCTAAGTAAAATGAAATCTCTGACAACTTTATTTTTTCAATTTTTATTGTGATTTTGGTGAAAGTTTACAGAAAAAGTTCACATTCCATACAGCAGTTCAGACACATTTTGTTTCATGACATTGACTACAATTCCCCACAATGTAACAGCTCTCTTCCCACTTCCTCCCTATAGTTATCTCTCCTTGTGTTCTTCTTTCCTATGCATTCTTGCCCCCTGAGCTGTCTCCCTGTGCAAATACTACCCTTCTGTTCTCCCATGATTGATTGCTCTAAAGGAGTGCATCTCCTGATGTAAATGTTCATCCTATATGCCTGTCTTTTGTTTGTCTGGGAGCCACGGGAGTGAGTTCACTTCCGGACCTGAAGGATAACAAGGGGCTGTAGTCTCAGGAGTCTCACCAGGCTCTATCAGACTAGTAACCTGGTCTTCTTTATGATTTTGAGTTTTGTTCCACATTGTTCTCCCACTCTATTTAGGATTCCCAGTATTGATCCCTTTCTGAATGTTAATAGTAGTAGCAAGGCACCATCTAGTTCTTCTGGTTTCATGGTCATATAGGCTAAAGTTTGCATGGTCCCTTGGACTAATCGTTTACATGTGTCTTTGGTTTTCTTCATTCTTGTTTGCTCTGGATGAAGAGAGATCCATTGTTGCATCTAGATGGCTGCTTGCAATCTTTTAAGAAGACCCCAGTCACTAATCACCAAAGTAGGATGTAGAACAATGCTTTGTGCAGTATGTCATGCCAGTTTAGCTATATGTCTCCTGTGACCATGGTCCCAAGCTTACATGTCCAACTACTTGCTCCCTCAGAGTGATTGGCTGTGGCTAAGAAGTTAGAACTTTGCCCCTTGTTAGCTCTATAACATATATGGACTTTCTTACGGTACGTACAAATATGTATGTAGATATATCATTTGCCAATATGTTGTTGTTGTTGTTAGGTGCTGTTGAGTCGGCACCAACTCATAGTGACCCTATGTACAACAGAACGAAGCACTGCCTGGTCCTGTGCCTGCCTCATAACACTTGCTATACCCAAGCCCATCATTGCAGTCATGGTGTCAATCCATCTTATTGAGGGCCTTCTCTTTTTTGTTGACCCTCCACTTTACCAATCATGATAACCTTGTCTGGGGAATGGTCCCTTCTGAAAACATGAACAAAGTAGGTCCAATGAAGTCTGGCCATTCTCGCTTCCAAAGAGCATTCCAGCTGCACTTCCTCCAGGACGGATTTGTTCATTCTTCTAGCAGTCCATGGTACTTTAAGTATCCTTTGCCAGCACCACAACATAAAAGCATCAACTCTTCTTTGGTCTTCCTTATTCATTATCCAGCTCTCCCATGCATATGACATGATTGAAAATAACATTGCACATATTTGTCTTCAGAGAGACATCTTTGCTCTTCAACATCCCAAAGAGGTCTTTTGCAGCAGATTTTCCCAATGCAATATGTTGTCTTGATGTCTTGACTGATGCTTCCATTGGTGTTGATTGTGGAAACAAGTAATACGAAATCTTTGACAAATTCAGTCTTTTCTCCACTTACTCTGATGCTGCTTATTAGTCCAGTTTTGAGGATTTTCGTTTTCTTTACATTGAGATGTAATTCATACTGCAGACTGTAGTCTTTAATATTCATCAGTAAGTGCTTCAAGTCATCCTCACTTTCAGCAAGCAAAGTTGTGTCCTCTGCATATCACAGGTTGTTAATGAGTCTTCCTCCAATCCCAATGCCATGCTCTTCTCCATATAGTCTAGCTTCCTGAATCATTTGCTCAGATAGAAATTGAATACTTATATGGTGAAAGGATACAACCCTGATGCACTCCCCTCTTGATTTTAAAGCATGCAGTGTCCCCTTGTTCTGTTCGAATTACAGCCTCTTGGTCTATGTACAGGTTCCTCGTAGTACAAGTAAGTGTTTTTGGAATTCCCATTCTTCTCAATGTTATCCACAATTTGTTATGATCCACACAATCAATCGAAGCTTTTTGATAGTCAATAAAACACAAGCAAATCTCTTTCTGGTATTCTTTGCTTTCTGCCAAGATCCATCTGACATCAGCAATGATATCCCTCATTCCATGTCCCCTTCTGAATC